ACAAGTTTATTTTCCTCTTCCTGCCATGGCTTTATTTTTGTTGCTATTGCAGTAGTAAAATTATCCCTGATATTCTCAGAAATTCCTCATAGCACTGTTAATGTTTTGGCTGATGTTTTGCTGGATTGGTTTTGCTGCGATTTTTTTAAAATGTCACATCTGTTCTCAAAGTGCAGTTACTTAATTGGTGTACATTGCTGGATTAGATTCAGTACCCACGCATCTATTAGCAAGGTACAAAGCTGCATGGGTTGTCAGAACATACTTGAAAAAGAAATGGGAGCTCAGCTCCCAGTAGCAGAAAGGTGACAAGCTCTGCTGATGTGGGAGGTAGCACAGCGGGGTATTGCCAAGGGCAAATCAAACACACAGACCCTTCTTGGTGCTGCAAAACTCGGGCAGAAGCCAGGGAAGGCTTCTTTGCAGTGGAAATGTCCTGCTTTTGGAGACAGTTCAATCTGAATAAGGACAAAATCAATATATTGACATCTCCTATAACTTGTCTGGTATCTTCTCATGCCTATCCGATTTCTTATGCACTGGTAAACACCTATATATAAAATACTTAAGTTATATGTAAAATATATATATTATATATTTTATATATGACATACAAATAGTATACCCCAGGTTTTCCACAATGCCTTTGTAATAGATGACAATTTACTTAATCAGTGAGATCATACATCATTCCTGTTTCATGGCCTGGGGAATGGAGAAGCAAAAATAAAATGGCTTGATATAGAGGCCAGAGGTTCAGAGATAAAACACTGCATAGAATTAAGTTTCATTTGCTGTAGTTCAGTAGTCTGTCTGCTAGGAATTGTTGCCTCTATATTTTGCAGTGAGAAAATGTAAAAATATACAGAGCAATGGTATTAAAATACCAGAAATAACTCAAAGAAAAGCAATAGACAAATGTAAAAAAAAAATGGAAATAAAATATTTTCTAAGTAGACACACAAAATGATCTATTCAATTGTTACTGTCACTTTCCACTATACTTGTTTTTCCCAAAACAATATCTGATCTACATTCTTGTGTGTACTTCCAGTGCTGACAGACTCTTATTTTTCCAATTAAAAAAAAAAAATCCAAACCTGAAATGAAACCCTTGAAATTTTTTACTAACTTCACTTGCTCTAGGAGAGTGAAAGGAAAACATGAAAATACAGCAGGACTCCTGAAAGGCCAATTGTTTTAGGGGTTTTATTTTCTTTTTTGTTGTTGTTGTTTTCCTTTCAGTCAGTGCACTTTACAAATGTGCTGTAGGCTCAGTTCATAGTAAGAACACATCTTATCCGACAAATAGTAACTGATGCAATATGATTTAAAAGTCTCCCCCATCATGCAGAAATTAAAATCCTCTCTCCAGGGACATTCCTCAAAGCATAAAGCAGAGCCTTTCTCCACATTTAAAGCATTTTGTTGTGTGAGAAATGACAATGAGCCATAAAATCTGGAGGGAAATGATTGCTGAACACTAACATATGCCCCGAACTCGTGGAGGCTGTCAGCTGCACTTCAGGCCAGGGAAATGCGGGTCCTGATCTTGTCCGGCTGGAGGGCAATTTAAAGAGATATGCTGGCAGAGTACTTAGGCCTGAAAGCCTGCTTTCAAAATAGCAGCAGCAGATGCAGCAGCTAACAATGCGAAGGTGCCAACTTGTTTTGTTTGCAAATGCATGTCCTATTGTCCCTTTACTACCCTGGTATGCTCTTTTCTTAAAAGAGATGAGAACAATTGTCTCCACCATTACTGCGATTATGCATAAAATGGCATAAAAAGAAGATAAAGGTTGCCTACTCAGGCACTCAGAAGTTAAAAAATAATGGGATTACTGTTGCCTTGACAACATTTCTCTCTCTTTCCCCTGCCCCCAGTTTCATTCTTGGAAATGGCTAAACCACTTTGCTGAAACTCTATCAAATAATTAAATAAAAGTTTCAGTTGTGGAGAGACAAATAGCATCAGAAACTTCCTCTTGCCTTTCCCAGAGCCTGACAAATTTCTAGCCAGCTGGATAAAAGGGTTTTATGATGAGAAGGATCAGGTATTGCCACATACCTTGATGACACTTGCAGGTCCACCTGCATTTTCTCCTTTAGTTTAATTTACTTTACACAGATCCCTGAAGCCTGCATTTGATGTGCACCTCTTTGTGCTGCCAAGGGAAAGACCATGTAAGCAGCAGCACGGGGACCTCAGTTCTTTTCAGCTAACCAAGGAGGGTGGGCTTCCCACCCCACTAAAGTGAAGACTAAGTGGGGTCGAAGTGGGATGAAATGATGCCGGAGGCAACCCATGCTTGGATGACCCAGATTCAACCCAAACTGATGTGCCTGGCAAATGGAAAGAGCTCTGCCCTTCTGGAGAGCATTGGAGGGTCTGCAGAGGTCCTGGGCTGGCAGCCCCTGTGGGCAGGTGACAGTGCTGGTGACATCAGGTTCTCTCTAGCTGAGCTCTGAATGAGGTCAGGCAAGAGAGTGACAAATGGCCCTGCCTTGTCAACACTGCTGTCATTGGTGCTGTTATCACCCAGCAAATGGGAGCCTGAAGGAATTTGCATTCTTGCCCTCTCCAAAGCAAGTGGCAACAGGAGCCGTGGAAGTATCTGTGTTTGCTCATACCACTTACATTCTCCTGCAAAGAAGCTCAGTGTTTGGTTTGTAACCAAAGGGTCTTTACAGATGATTATAAAATATTATGACATGGTTCATTTTTCATGCTAATTGAATTTATGATGAGGTTTCTTCCAAAGAAGGTACAGAACATTTTAGCACATACTGGCATGGCTGAAGCATTAACAAACCACTGACCTTGTGCAAAGCCCAGAAATACTGTTATGCTCCTTTTCTGTGAGGTAAAGTAGCATGCATAGGGGCTGGAAGTGGACCAGCTGACCAGCACAGTCTGTGACAAATGATCCAACAGCACTGTGATGGGGGGGGAGGACTGTGGTTTATTTAAAAACTGATTTCTCTGGAAGGAAAAAAAAGGCATAACTAAATTTGCATTTAATGGCATGTATTTTTAAAGCCAAAATAATTACAGCTGCATTAATTTTTCTTCCTTTTCTTTTGCTTGGAGCACAGTCAGCCCTTGCTTGTTGCTTAGGATTCCTGCTGAACACCTTCTTGACTCAAATCAGAGCCCTCTGGCAGGCAGCTCCTCCATTGCATCTGCACACAGCCAGCATCATTAGTTGTTCATCAGCACCGAGGCTGCTCCATCAGGTCCTGCTCTGCAATCCTATTCAGCTAAGGGGGACCAGTGATTGGCCCCACAGGTCCTAACTGGTGTGTCTGTGAAAATTTAATCTGAAGTCACAAGCAGAGTCATCCAGGACTGACTCATGTGAGGTGTCTGTGTGGCTCATTCCTGCATTGGGAGTGCTGGGTGATACAGCTGTCTGTGACCTCAGACAAGGACTAAGGTCTCCTGGTTCAAAAGCGTTTTCTTCAATTAGATATTTGTTAATTTGTCAATGTTGGTATTCCATAATAGGTGTTATCTTTCAAAGGAGGACACCTAAAGGAATTTAATATGTCTTGTTTCTGCAGCTCTGACTCAATCAGTTTTTGTCAGGGAGCTTTTGTCAGTGCTAAGTAGTACTTTAAGTTTAAAAATCTAAAATCCTTGGATCAGTTATGCATGGATGCAAGAGAATCAAATGCTGTATTTCCCACTGGTGACTATCTGTCCTCGATCTCTGCCCCTCTCATGCACTCATGTCAAAATACACAGTGTTCTTCTTTCTAAACAAAGCATTAAAGAGTGCCTTTGTCTGTTCCAAATACCTTATTTATAAGTATGGAAGCATTAGGAAATGAGCAGTATATTAAGGTCAGATTGCAACTTGTGTAATACGGGGGAGCAATCTCAACAGAGCAGTCCACATGTAAGCCAGCTAAAGAACTGGCCTATAAATTGATGGTTAATAAATGTGGAATAACAGGTCTAAGAACACCAGGCCACCAACAGCTACTATAAAGTGGAACTGGTTGTTCAAAATTCTCCAAATACATTAATGTGCTGCTTTTCATTTTATTGCAAAGATGGGTGATTGGACCTGCTGGCCAAAACCCAATTCTTCCCACAAGGGAGAATGATCTGCAGCTGAATTACCTCTGACATATTCCTTTCAACACGGCGACCATTTCAAAAGCATAATGCAGTTTGGTCATGCATGACAACAGTTTTTGCAGCACAGTAACACGTGAAAAATCTAAATCATGCTGGAAATTTGAAAGGAAAATCCATTTGATTAGGATATATGGCCTGGGAAATGCTCTCTCTGTTGTATTTCACATCAATAAAAACTTCTCTTGATTTGATTTGTATGCAGTGAAGCTTTGCTGCAGAGATTACTGGAAGTCTTGCTTCAGAACTGAAGTTGAGACATAGGTATTAGAAATATAAGGGTAGATAAGCACTTTTAACCAAAATATTATTGAAAAAAATAGTTGTTTTTGCTAAAATTATTTTCCTCAACCAAAAATTCTATCAGGGAGAACAACAACAAAGCATTTAAGGACACTCAGCAGCATGAAATGCCACCACAAAGCAAAACTCTGTGTACACTGACGGGAAAGAAAATGCTGCCTTGGTTAAAATCTGGGCAGAAAACCAGGTGTTACATCCTGCTATGCTGAAGTGAAAATGAGGAGAGCTTTGATGCACAGACAGTAAAGAAGGCTTTGGCTTTCTGTCTCACCCAGCAACATTTCATGGCACACAGTCAGTCATCCATCATGGTCCAGCACAGCCCTTTCTTCAGTCATGGCTCAGGGGCAGGATTAGGTGCTCAGAGTCTGCAGCACCCCCACCTCCTGTGGGGAATGGGTTGGCAGGAGTGAGATGTCCATCCTCTGACAATCACCAGTATTTCTTCTTCTGGACAATTTTCTTTTCCATATCCCACTGATTTTCCCTTTTCTGTTCTTTTGGTAGCCCACTGTCTCATTTTTCTACCTGTGATTCTCCAGTCAGGGTTCATCGTTCATGTAGGCAAAGGATGTGCTGAGGGCAATGAGCACCAGGCAGATACTGCTGCCACCCTGTAGGACCTTTGCTCAGGGTGGGTCCCTGTTTTGCTGCTCTTGTCTTTGAATTCATACCTGAGGCTCCCTGCCTGGAAGAGCCTAAGTCTGTTTATTTAACGTGGGGCTAAAACAGTTTATTTGCACTTTTCAATATTAAAGGGATTTGGGAGCAATTGTCCACCTGTTTTTAAGTCTAATGGCAATTCTGTTTCACACTGTTATCATTTTTACCCTATTTATTATCATAACTGAAGAGGTGACTCCAGCTGGTCTTTGATCTCGCAGCTGTTTGTTACCATCTCCCAGCTAAGAGGCAGCTACCTGCCATATAATCACTCTTAGTGTTTCTGAGAGTAAAGTCACACAAACTTAAATTGCTGCTGAAGGTTTCCTTTTTTTTTTTTTTTTTCATTTTGTCGTCACAGGTGCAAGGAGTGTTTGTACAGTTGTTCATGCCTGTCAGCTGAGAGGAAATAAACACCCTCTGGGAAACAGTTGGGAGCAGATTTTAAACCTCTTTGCCACTGGCATGGCCACGTGACTGCTCCATATCCTCATCATTGCAAGGTCAGAGAGGCTAGATCAGAAAACCACTGTCTGCTGCACTTTCCAGAGTGTGGGAGGTGCTGTAGGCACTGTTGGCCACAGCAGGGAGATGCTCTGGGAGACTGCTCCTTCCTGCATGCATGACTTTGGTCACGGCCACCTTGGGGAGCTGCAAGCACCATTTGGGCTGGGGGAGGCTAGAGCTCTGGCTGACCCAGGGGTCCTACCTGAGTGCAGCTCAGGGGTAGCTGGGCAGCCCCCAGGCACTCTTTGGGAAGACAGGGACTGTGTGGAGTCAGCAGACCCACGGCTAACAGAGAGTCTCTGTTGCAGTGTGACCCTGAGTGGCAGCACAAAGATGTTTCACGGCTCAGACCGGTTCCCTTCTTTCTAGATTCTGCAAGAAAAGCTCCAAGCTGAAAAACACAATGTCCTCATGGTGGCTGGCAGCCAGAGATATGCATCCCTTCGGAAGGCAGTTAGAATCAGCAGATAGGATCACCCAACAAGTGTGGTGACACACAAAAAAGGGTAACCCTTATGAAAAGCAAATGTTCATTTAACATAGTTATCTAGGGTCCCAAAGAAAGCTGGAATAGTGTGAACCATTAATTTAGGCTGTGAGGCTTAGTTTCGAAAATAATTTTGAGATTTCTTCTTGAACAGGCGCAATAAAAAGCTTTTAATATGCCCAACCTGGTTTTGCTGCAGTGCGCACTGTATCTTGCCTCCATTTGTCTTTTACTGCCAGCAGTCTTCATGCACTTAATTCTACTCTGACATCTGATTTCTTTAACAAAAATATACAAGTGCACATCTCATCTACATCTGAGGAACAAACCCTCCTCAACTGCCAACAAAGAAATTGTGATAACGTAAAGAAAGTATAGTTCACAGCATTTACTTTACTGAAATTCAAGTGCAAACTGAAATTCTCAGATCAGTTCAAGCAACTTCTTATTTTTGTCACAGGAACCAAATGTTTGACGTGCATCAAGGCCAAGTATGTGGTTATTGACTTCAGAGCCTTTTGAATTGGTGCTGCAAATAACACCATTATCCCAAGTGGCCCAAGCATCTCTTTTATCTGCATGCTTTCAGCATTCATCTACATTCCTCTGAAAATGCAAGTTTAGCTTTGCTCTCATTTACTTCTGGAAGAAGGTGAGATCACAAGGTATTTATTTATAGATAAATATAGATATTTATAGCTATATTAACACAAAATGTACCTTTCATTTCACACAAATATTCAGAAGAGGAAGTGGAATACTCTGCCAAACACACTAAAGTTTTTGCCATTTAATGGCAGTCTGAGAGAAGAAAAATTTTATTTTTTTATTTCATTTAATTTTCATCTGATTTAGTTCTCATCTGTGATGGCTGATTATTTCAAAATAATTCTACTTCCAGGTCACGGAATTTATGAATAAAAGATGTTCATGTGCACGGCCTAGGTCAGGTGTCACAACTCAGTGCAGATACCCTCACAATGAAATACTTCTGATTTTAATTACTGTATGAATGGATATGCTGATTATGCAAACAATCAATAAAATACTAACCAGAAAATGCAAGAAAATAGGTGGCCAAATATATCAACAAAGCGTATGTCTGTACAACACCAACCCTGCAAACAGGTGGGGCATGCTCATGTTATCACTAGATATTCTACGTCAATGAAACAGCCAAAGTCACCAAAGTATCACGATGCAGAGCTGTTTAATTTTTAAGCAAGAGTAGATAAAAATTTTCTTTTTAACCCCTTAGTGACTGACTGGTAGGACTTCCTTTCTGGAGGCACACTTTCTAGGCAGGTCAATGGAGTTTCTTTCTGCCTGAGGTGACAGATTGAAGTCACTGAGGGCAAAGTACCACATGATGCACACCAAACCAAACCAAACCAAACCAAACCAAACCAAACCAAACCAAACCAGCAATTATGCTTCTTACTGAATAATAGTGTGTAATAAAGGACTCACACCTTTTTTTTCCCTGTGTTTGTTTCTCTTTGGGAATATCAGAAATACCAAGAGAGTGCATGCTCTAGTACTGTCTCCCAGACTGTCTGTGCATAGTCGTTGTTTAACTGCTTCTAAAATCCATCTGTGGTTACAGAAACAAATAGTAAAACTGTGCTTGGCTTAGCCAAATAGAATATGCAGTTTCTTACTTCACAAGCAGATATAGAGCAAGCAGTCTTGACCTCTTTGTTACCATTGCAGTTTGGGTGACTGACAAGAAAAACGTATTCATCAGTGACAAGCCAAACATATTCATCAGCATCCTGCACTCCAGGACTGGGCTCTGCTCAGAAATTAGGCTTCTCAGAACAAGGAGGACCTTTCGGTGCCCTCTTGGCACCCTGGGTACAGATGTCATGCAAACTGAGTTACTGGTACAGAAATATTTCCCTGGTAATATTTTGAGCTTCGGGCCCTTTCCTGTGCTGTGTTTTGCAGAGGAGTGGGGTCTAGAGTGAGACAAGCTTTGTTATTCTCATGTGAGCTCAGCTTTCCTCCCATTTCCCTTCCCAGATCCCTTTGCAGGATATGTTTTTATTGTACCCTTGCTCACTTTGGTTTAAGCAGAGTTATTCATTTCCTGACTGTATGTGACCATATGTGTGGCTGTTGTCAGTGATGCAAATCCTCAGCCTTCAGCTGAACAAAATTCAGCCCGTGATGTTTGATGTGCCGTGTTAATGGGACACGGCTGTTTTGAGATTTCTGACTTTCAGAGGACCAAACGTTTAAGCTGTGCCTTTAGGAAATAACAATAACTCATTAAGGTCACGTTCCAGTGTTTCTTTTTAAATACAGATGTGGAGCTCTAGACTGCTACTGAAAATAGATTTTCTGTTCCTTCTCTGTACAAAATTGAATACTGTATCTCCCCGAGTCTCCTTTTACTCAAGCAGCAAAGGTTGCTCTGATGTCAGCTGCGTGGGTGAGATGTAATATGGATAGCTGTGAAATCCCCTTTGACAGTAACAATCAAAGTGGAAATATCCTTCCAGCCTAGAAAAGTATTTCCTCACATATAGGCTACTACTGTTTTGTAATTGTAACTGCTAAATCTGAGCACTTCAAACAAATACTCGAGAGAGACAAAAATTCTTCCCTGGAAACTTTTAAAATTCAGAATATAAAAGATATATCCCTGGGAGAATGCAACTGAGAGACAATAGAAACAGAGTTGCCCTACCAAAGGCCAGTGAAATCCAAAATAAGACATCTGTGGAGGCAGGTAGTCTGCAAGGGCCCCTTGTTTCCACTGGTGCTGGGAGAGCTGTAAGGTGTATTTGTGAGGAAGGGGAGTGAATGGAGGAAGAATATCATTCCCTGAAGAGCATTCTGGGGGAATCTGGCAGGCATTGTGCTCCCATTAGTCCTTGTCCCTGCTATATATGTCAAGAGAGGATACAGAAAGGAAAAGGGAACATACTGGTAAAAAGGGAGCTTTCAAAAAATGTTCCGAATCATTACTGTGACTGCTTTTGTGACATCAAATCTTGTTCTCTTTAAGGTTGTTGACAGAGGACAGTTGAGTTTAAGATCCAAAGTCATCTACTTAGGCAGTGGTGGTCCCAGAAACTGAATCCTGGCTATCTGAGGGACAACCCCAGGAGCTGGGAAACAGCTGGATGTGGGAGGTCTCTCAGTGCCTTACAGAAACCTGGAGCCAAAACTCTCTTTGAATTAAGTCAGAGCATGTAGTGAAGCCAAGAGACTGGCAATCTTACCAAGCTCTGTCTTAAAGTACCCAGATAGCTTGGTTCTTAACTGCAACTATTTAGCACAAACCTTTAGGTGTTTTCATCCTGCTTGAACAATCCCTACAAATTAGCTTTTTTGGAACATTGAACCCTATTGGACTGTGTAAACAAGCCACATTCAGCTGAATGCAAAGCCCAGCTACAGTTTCAATTTCTGTAAATTATGCAAGGATATGAATAATGAGTACATCAGTAAGCTAGACCAGAGGCTGATTCATTCATGTATTGATTCATGCATGGTTTATCTTCATGCCTTCCAGAAAGAAAAAAATGTAAATGGTTGCATTAAACTGTAGAACTTGAAAGTGGTGGTTGAGAGGGAAAAATGATTGTCTCATAGAAGAGTGGCAGATGAAACTGTGGTTTGTGTAATAACCCTTTTTAATAATTTGCATCACTTTAAATGCTTCTTAGCTGGGTGTGACTGAAGTAGAAAAAATCATAAGCTTATAGAGGAAATTGACTTGATATTTTATTACTTTTATGCCACGTGTTTGTTCAATACCTTTCTTCCTTACTGCCTCAAAAAGCAAAACCAAAAGAATATACTTCTTTTATTTTAAAAAAAATATATCTCAGTAACAGAAATAATACAAAAAAAATCATTCCCATGGTCTGGAAGTGTTCCCAAGCACATTAGGTAAAATCCCATTAGAGATTTTGGATGGACAAGTGGGAAAACCAAGGAAAGAGGGTGTTCAATTTTCCTAAAAACAAGAAACAAAAGAAAGGAGAAAGAAAATATATCTATTCCTTGCAATCTTCAGCCAATCAGGGTGTAGGAATGACATACAATTTTCTTCAGTGTGTGGGTGAGTAAACCATAATTCTTTACTCCCATTGTCTTTGATGATAAAAGGTAGCTATAGGAAGGGCTTTTTCTTTTTTTTACTCATGAGAAGCTTGCAAGAAACAAAACATGACATGAACAGACAACATACAGGCAAGTTTCTTATATCATGAACTGTTTATCTCTAAGCATGAACACAAACAAATCCAACTTACATAAAAGCAAGCCATGTAGTGTAACTGCTGCTGTTCCTTTCTGCTTTTGTTTTAATTAGCTGATGGAGACAGCAAGCACATGATATGCTGCTTGTTTTTAAGGATACCTTAGTCATCTGCCATTTTTGCACTTTTTTTGGTTGGCTACTGCTAAGGGCAAGGAAAGCTCTGTAATGGCTGTATATAAGAAAAATAACTTCAATATAAAGCTGTGAAAAGCTTTCATCTAGCTTCATCTTTGCCACCCCCATGTCATTAAGTTCTTTATCTTTATCTAAGGCTGAAAGTTTTAAGCACATCATTAGTAATATCTACTTTCATGTACACAGTTTTCACTTCATAGGTTGACTCTCAGTGTAACTGTTAATTCCAGGAATAATCTGGGGTTATTTTAGCCCATCATGGAGAGGTGCAATGTTAAACAATTGCTGAAATTTTAATCAATTTGTGAAGTTTTATTGCCAAAACTGAATCATGGATGAGACTTATTTCCAAAGGAAGAAAAGGAGTAAACTTAAGTTTGAAGTAGCAAATCAGTTCCTTTTTTTTTTTTTTTTTTTAATTACTATTATTTTTGTGTAATCTAATAAAAGATGAAAAAATAGGGCTGAACTTGGTTGGAAAGTGCAATTGTCTCTTTTGTCAAGGTTTGAAATGGAGGTCTCTCATGCCAGTTAAGTATATTTTTTTTCTTAAAAGTCCAGAACAGCTTTTCAAAATGCCAGCTGTCCACTCTGAATGCATGTACAGATTTTTGATAGACAAGGAACACAACGTGTCTTTTCATTTAACCTAGCAAATGTGTATAAACAGACTGGAGTGCCTGGAGTGGTTCAGTTTTATCACTCTTGTGAATGGTAAAAGTGATACAATGGCAGCCTTTCCTTTCTCAGCAGTATGGCCTCCACCCATAGGTGTCTGTTAACACTCTTGAAAATGATCACTGTATTTTTAATGATACAATGAAATATATCAACCTCCCAAAACATGAGATAAAGTAAATTAAGAATATCCCAAATTAGCCTTTTTCCCTCAACTTACAGAAGGAAAAAAAAAAAATCAATTCAATCCAGTAGTTAGTGGTTTTGCAAATTTCTCATAATTAGAGGAAAGAAAAAGAAAATGCCTGAAGAGTTAAAAAATCTGAACACCAAACCTTTGATCCTGGATTTGAAGCTAAGATGTGAAATTAACAGTGGTTTTGTCACAAAGGAAAGAGTCACCGGAAGAAAGGATAGAACACTGCGCAAAGAAGTGATCAGGTAAAACTGAGGAAATGGTGCTACAATCATGTATAGAGTCACAAAAATCCCTCCCGAAGAGTAAAAAAAAAGTACATGAAAAAAAGAGAGAAACAAAGGACAACAGCATCAAACAAACACAGGAACACTTCTAAACAATTCCCTCCAGGTTATCTCACCAGAGGCAAAATTTAACGGCATCACATCTGGGAGGCTGTGCTCAGACAAGGAGCTTCCCAGTGTGTAGGAGCCATTGTAGGGATGTCAACATGGCTTCAAGTTGGTTTTTGGCTTTATATGTGAAGTCAGTTACAGCCCAAAAGAGCATTTTATGGCTATTTGATAATGCACATTCCCACAGCCAAGAAGAATGTTTTTGGTCTGGCAAACCCAACACAGCCCTAGATGCTGCCAGGGAAGGAGGCAGTTTAATGCATTTTTTCTGAGGGACCATAAACAACCATGT